TTTTTTTTTTTGATAAAGTGGGAAATTAATTAATTTTTGGTAAAATAGAAAATTTTATTAATCGAAAGAAAATCAGGAAAGGGGGAGGGGAGGGAAATATTTTTATTAAATAAAAAAAAATGTATGTATTATTATATTGAAAAAGAAAAATAGAATTTTAAAAATCTTCTCATTTGAAATTGAAGATTTTCAAATTCAAAGATTTTCAAACAGGAGAAAAATGTATTCAGAAATTCTACAATCGAACTAATCATAGTTATGAATCATCTTCTGTCATTGGTTTTCTTCATTAACAGCTTCCTGCTTCCTTGCTGTGTGACACGTCAATCGTTAAAGTACGCGTTCGAAGGAGAATTACGAATTGATCTTCATCTATATTGTTTTCTTTTCAGATTATTCGAAAGATTTCAGCAAAACGATGGTATCGACAGTCTCGATCGCCATGAATCCTGTAAGAAATTCTCATTTCGAAGAGCAACCGTAATTTTAATAGACTGTTTGGAAAAGGAAGAGAAATATATAAAAGACATTAATCGACTCTTGAAGATAAAAGCCAGTATTTAGAATGTTTTATATAATTTGCAAAATGGATGGAAGAGATAAAAACTGATGAAGATAGTCCATTAAGAATATATATTATCAGATATTGCTAGATATTTGTACATCTATTTAAATTAAAATTTAAATGTACAAAATGTGGAGGAGGACGTAATATGCAAACTATATAAAATACCTAAAGTAAGATACTCATTTATTTAGATTTTATTTCTTTAATTATTCATTGTACGTATCAAACTTTTTAATTGATACCTTAGATTCACTATTGATATGAATTCGACGCATTATGAAATATATATTTTATTAGGAAATATAAGAAATGCCATAAAAAAAGATAATAATTGTATTAAAAGAAGAAAATATGAATGTAAATAGGAAAACTTGAGAATAATTAATCCAGATGGTTAAGAAAAAAAAAAACAGTTGAGCTGTTATTAGATTTATCTGGATTAATAAAAAATGATTAATATTGTATAATAAATGATAAAATAAGTTATTTATCGACCGATAAATTAGATATTATGAAATATAATTAAGATAATCATGTAAATCATTTAATTTTTACCACACTTGAATACAAGTGTTATATTTTTACCAAAGGTTACACGTGTGTACATAAAAATAACATAATTAATTTTTGTTACCAATTTTTGTATAAAAAGTATAAATTCTAAAGATAGATTCGTAGTTTAAAACGTTATAAATTTATTTTATATTTATTCGGTATTTTCTTTGGTTAATTTATATATGATGAAATGATATAAAAAATTATCAAAGTACAAAGTAAATAAACCTATTTATGAATTTAAATAATTCTCTACATTAATCGTTCGAAAATGAAATAACGGAATACTTTTTCTTTGGAAAATATCTATTAAAAATTATTCGTAAAATCCAATGTATTGACAAATGTCTTTAGAATTTCTTACAATTATTAAATGTATAAAAATCTCGTTATCGTAAAGAATAGCGAATATCTGTTCTATAACTCTAAAAATAAATATATTCTAAATTTCTTTGCAAATTAAAAATATTCATATCGTTGTACAGTATTTATAACAGTACAGTATTTGTAAAACATGTACAATTGAGATATACAAATTATACGACTAATTGTAAATATATTATAAAAGATACGCATCGCAGATTAAATTAATTAAAAAAAATCGTATTAAAAAGTAAGTTCTTTCGAATATTGTGAAAATAATATTGTCATAATAAATGGCATAAATTTTAATTGAAAATCGCAAGAAAAACAAAATTATTACTTGCAACATCCGCTCTTTTCTCGGATCGTAGGTTTGTCTCGCAGTCGGACGGAATCACGAATTCCTCCGTCAATTTTAGTTTTGAGCACGTTCTCCACAAGATAACGCATCGCCACATCTGCGAACAGAAATGCAAAATAAATTAGCGCGAAAATATATAATACTTGTTACATTGAATAATAAAAAAAAAAATTATTAAATAAATAAAAATTGAGAAACAATGATTCTTTCTTCGGAAACTTTACTTTAAACTTCTTGAAAAATTTATATTGAAATTAAAATTCGATTTTTATAAGAGTATTTAATTTGCGTCTTTGATAAATTTTTCTTCATTAACAATAATAAGTATTATACAAATACTTACCAACATTTGTATTTTCTTTCGCAGAAGTTACATACCAAGCGCCAATATTATTCTCTTTGCAAAACCTGGCAATTTGTTCGGTCGGTACCACGGGGCAAGGAATGTCGCATTTGTTCGCTAAGAGAACTACCGGTATATTCGAACCATCCGGGAGTGTGACTTTTTCCCTCAAATCGCACAGCCATTTCTTGATCGATTGGAATGTAGCTATTCGCGAAATATCGAAAACTAAAGCTGCGGCCACTCTGAAAATTACGTGTTGAAACTATCAATTTGTAACGATAATGCGTTTTACTGCAATACATTAAATATAATTTAATCTTGATCTTGAGTTGCGATACTTACGCATATTTGTAATAAACTCTGGTCATATATCCAAATCTTTCGTGACCGGCGACATCCCTGAAAAAAAACGAAAAATTAATTGTAATGAAATAAAGATGCGTATAAAAATAGTGCCATAAAATCATATTTAATGTTTGATTTTATTATATTATAAATTTTATCCCAAAATTATATATATATATACACACAAAATTTAGAAAAAAAAAGATCTATAATAAAGATTTTTTGAAAATATTGAACGTTTTTCTTTATTAAAGCAAAATTTATTTAATATTTAAGATGCAGGAAAATTATATCAAACACTATTACCATTGTTAAAATAAAGAATAAAAAAGAAACTATCAAGAAATTATATAATGCAATCCTATTATTAGATTATATATGAATTATATTTAAGAAACACTTTGAAGAACTAAAATAAGTACGAAAAATATCGATTTAGATTTATTTATTAAGTTATAAGCAATGTAAGTTGGATGAAAATATTAGATATTAAATAATATTTATGATTTCAACGATTCTATTGAACAGACCATGCAAAATAAATAAGAACAGTACCACAATTGTAAATTTATTTTAGTAAGAGGGTCCCAATCGAGAGTTTTTATTGCGAAATCAGCTCCTATGGTAATCTTGTAATTAGATGTAAACTTTCCTGCAAGAAGAGAAAAAAATTGATTAGATTCAATAAAATTACTGAGTATTGTGAAAAGATTTGTTGAAACGTCAGTTGTTTTCACATTATGGATAATATAATTGAAATGTGTTATTATTTGATAATTCAATAAATATAATCACTTATAACAAATATAACCAGTTAAAAACAAATGCAAAAAGATGAAAAGATTTTGCATTTGCCTCTTAAAATCCATAAATACTTCAATAACAATCTGAAACATTTATTTATAGAGTCAGAGAAGAAGCAAATAATAAATATCGTTAACCCTCGTTATATTATCGAATGTGTATCATTGTTCTTTTATGTTTTTGTATTTCTTTTATGTTTAATTAAAGCAATAATTAACAAATTAGGTCAAGAGTAAAAATGAAAAAGGTTATCGACTGCAGACGAGTAGTATTACAAATGTAGCAGTTTCCATATAAGTAATACTTAATTATTCATCCTGCTGCTTACATACATAAATGAATAAAAAATTAGGGATCATCTGGTTTAAATTGAGAAACAATTCTCAAGACGTTTTATTCTTCAATGAAATTTTACACAACGGCATTATGATGTTTAAAATTGTAGCTCATAGCTTTTTATTTTTTTTTTTTTAAGATATGTATTTTTCAAAATATTTTGAAAGAAGGACAAATGATAAAATTACATTATTATGGAAATTACGGATAATACGTGATGCTATGTGAAGTGTAGAACAATTGTTAATTTTTTAATATATTGCAAGAATAAAAAATTAATTATCTCATCTTTACACTCGCAATTAAGATATCTTGCAATGTAATCTCGTCTTTACGATGTTTTGAACGAAATATCTCTTATTTATCATTTTTTTTACAAATAATATATAGTATATATAATTTTCTTACCTTCTGTATATCTCCTAACCAATGCTGTTTTTCCTGAAACAATAACAAAACAATTATTATTCTTTGTTATAATAACAATAAACATATAACATAAAAATTATATTATTATTTACAATAATAAAATAATAAATAATCAATTTTCAAAATACATTAATCGTGTTATTAGCTTATTATACATCAATTAAAAATATATCAATTAACTACTAAGTCTGCCTTTAAAACTGCATTATTTGGGTAGATAAAAAAAAGTCTTACTCTATCTCTCTTCACCTCGTATTAAATAAAAATATTTATAACTTCATTAATAAATCTCGATCCACATTTTTTTTATTTTACCAATTCTTACACTCATTTTTGATGTGTTTGAAATCATTTCAAAAATCACTCACAGAACGGATTAACGCTTTCTATAATCCCCATATTTTTTATGAATGAATAAATGATAATTTCCATATATTTACTTCCCATTTTTCTTATTATTATTACTATATTACTATATTCTTATTATTATTATATATATTATTACATTAAAAAAAAAAAAAGAAAAAAGAAAAATTATTCGTGATTATATGCATAAATCTACATTACAAGAATAAATTACGCAATACACCGACTTCTCTTACAATCTTATTCAAAGGAATTTTCTTCAAATCGTCTCGATCGAACGCCTAATAATATAAGAATTGTCCCAACACACGATATATCATTGCCATAATAACAAATCTTATGATGCGAATCAATTGGCAATAATTTCCACATGATAACAATAAACCACGATGATCAAACAAACTTTGACACTTTGAAAACCCGAGGATATAATCCTATCCTAACTGTTCACAATACGTATTTGAATATAATGATACTAACGAGTCGAAAACCGTGCCCCCGGCAGATTTTTCAAATATTTTTAAAACGGCCTGGACGCACCGACTCCATAATCACCAATTACGAGGAACTTGAACAGCAACTCCTTGTGACCGAACTTGGACAACAGGACGTCCGAGTCCCTTCTCGGCTTTCTCGAGCTCATTTCCTTCCTTCTTCCTCGTCGTATATTCCGCGCGATTTCCACGGAAGCAAGCACACCGTTCTCGTGGCCCTTCTGTCAATGATAATTAAGTTCGGCTGAGTAAACTGACAAACGAAGAATGGGCGAGATGCTCGACCTCTGGGATCGTCATACCGCGTCTTTTCCCCTTCCCCTTTCTATGTATTATCGAAGCTTCAAACTCGTTATCGTCTTCTCCTGTACTGTACGTGGTAAACACTTGGTTCTTCGATATTACATATTGCTTGGTCCTCTCTTTTTCTTAAACATATTTTTTTAAGATAGCCATTATTGAAAATTTGGTATTTGTCTTTTTCTTATTTATATTCAATTCGGAAAATTGTCTAAGGATTGTTTATAAGTGTACTTCTAGTAATAGAAT